GCTATTGAATGAATTTTTTAGGAAGAAGATGGTCCTTGCTTAACAAAAAATGATTTTTTTAACTTTCTAAAGCAACATTTTCTTCAAATTTGGTCCGTTACTGAGGTTAGGCTCTTAAATGCGACACCCCGACTTTTGTGAGTTAACATTCTCTATGATGGAATGCATCATTCAAAATTAACAAATAGCACTGTTTTATTAAACTTCATGTTTTAAGAGTTTGAAAAATGCACAGGAAGGCCATTTAAGAGCATTTTCTTTTATTCTTACACTGACGGAGGTTAGGGGTTATTGAGCGTCATTGATTAAACTATGACAGTGACGTAACTAACCAACAAATTCGACAGAGAACACCATGTATGATAAAAAGAAACATGAATTCAAATTAGTTGAGGACTAAAAACACTAAAATACGGGAAAATATAAACTTTTTCTTCAGCTATAATACCGAAGCGACACGTCGAAATCGTGCTTTTTGCGGCATATAGACCCCCGGGGTTCCCGTCAAAGCAAGTGGTACTATATTAATTGTTGTTTTTTAAGAAGAACACATCGGGTCCTGCTAAAAAAAGCTAAAAAAAGCTAAATTGCAGATGCTTTTACTACCGAAAATAAGCTGCGACAGGTATTATTCAGAATTGTACCCTTTTTCGTGGAATGGCTGGTATTTCCCTTGTCTCACCTTGAGGTGATGTAGTGAGCGGTTCCTCTGGCACGTCCCCTACTCTTACAAAGACCGTTGCTGTGCTGTTCCAACCGTATTGGTCCTGTGAAGAACGTTGACACACATTGTTTAAGTATAAGAAATAGACAAGTGAGCAAATTTGATTTCGATTATCCCTTTCCTTAACGATCAATGACAACTTAACATTTATCAATCATTTAATGCTCGCAATAATCACATGCGAATTTAATTCAAGTTTTGAACGATTCCTGTTTGTAGAAATCTTTGCAAGCTATCGAAGAGACCTCAAATACCAATGATGTTTTCCAACCTCCATGAAGGAACCTAGCCAGATTTCAAAGTCGGAGTAAGATTCACAATTTTGTTTTGTCCCCTCTCTCCCCTACCCGCTTATACGACTTTAAATATTTTAAACATTATTGCTTTAATGATAAATAAACGCCCCAGAAGACTGACCTTCAACACAGAGTATATTGGATATTTACCCTTGCCATAACCATCAAACTGTGTTGTGCATCCTTTTCAAAATCCAACGGAGTTATAAGTGTGATATTCCCTGTTGTTTGATCAATCCTAAAGTTACCGACGTTCTGCGAGATGGAATCTGAATCCTGAAACGGGTAAAGAAGAAATATGCACACAAAACCAGCTTTTGGGAGGTAAATCTACTAGAGGATAAAAGGTTTAAACCCAACCTTCTTCAGCAAACCTCAGGCTGAAGGCACTAATGGCCCAGCCTATTATTAGAAAGTAACATCGAACTTGCATTTGAAAAAGTAGATCAATAATAAAGTTTAAGTATAAATAAAATTTAAGAGACACTTATTATAGGATGATGTTGAAATACTAATACATGTAGCTTTGCAAACGGTATAATCCCTCCTGCGAAAGTCCTCGTTTTCTAGGATAATGTCGAATGTCCCGAGAGAAGAGGTGGAGTAGAGGTTTTCCTAGCTGTGTTCACAGTTGACCGGTGTGGTAATAGATAAAAGACAAAAGATGGTGGAACAGTGTTTTACCTTTGAGTAGAAATAGTATGTTGGTGGGCCATAATCTAGGTCCGTCGCTAACACTGTGAGGATTTGGGTCCCCACTGGAGTGCTCTAAAAAGAATACAAAGACCTGATATATCAATGAACACATGGTACTATCATTAGGGGAAATTCATCGTTATGTTGTAACAGAAAAGTATGAAAACATGTAATTTATACGGTACATTGGTTGGATAGGACACTCTAAAATAATATAATCATCCTTTTTTCATAAATGAAACGATAATTATGACAGATGGCTGTCTATATAACTACAAATATACTGTACTGTTTTTCTCTTATACTAGCTGATTCAGATAATTTTTCTCTACTAAGCATGTGAAAATATGTAAAGTATACAGATATTTTGATGCCATGCTTACCTCCAGAACATCTGCAATGTAACGAACCTTGCTGAAGAGAGGTGTATTGTCGTTTACGTTGACGACATATACAGTGACAGTTCTGGTTAACTGCAATAAGATAACATAATATTCAACAAATTTATATTTTAAAAAAATTCAACAAAGAAACATACTTGGCCATTGGATACCGTACTGGCTTTGTGAATGTGAATGAAAGACAGTGCTGTCAACAAAACGAGCTAAAAAATTAAAAGGACTGTTTAATAAACAGCTCGATCACCAGTCGTTTGTCCAGATCCGTAAAAGAAAAATTATGAAGGGTGATGAATATTTCAAACTGGTGATCTACTTTCAGAAATCAGTTAACTATACCCCATGTGTTTATGCACTGATCACTGCAGATGTGTTTAATGATCGTCATCATAGCTGTTTTTTTATTTACAACAAAATACATTGTGAAAAAACAAAGGTCGTTACAATCATCAACGTATACCACTGACCAGGTTAACGCCATCAGATACAGTGAACCCAACAGCAAACTGTGTGACCGTCTGAAATGTATCAATATATTGTGAAAGTTATAGGCAGTTATTGTTTTTTGGCAGATACTGTAGTGTATGTTAATACTACATATACATTGTGCATCCAAGTTCATGTCGAATGGAATAATATAAATACTGTGGATGTGCTAAGTAAAATATCAACGAGTCATTTAAATCTGTTTCCGATAAAAGGCAGATACAGGTAATAACTGTGTGTTATTTTAATCGCATGGTCATTTTATTGTGTAATTCAAATATTTCCAATTATTGCGGTTGAGCCTGGATAACATAATCTAGTGATATTTTAGAAAGTGATGTAAATTATATTAAAAAAATAAAATGACTTACATTTTAAAAACATTGAAGTACGTTTAAAAAGCTGAAGAGAAAATACCTCGCTCATAATACTACAGTATATTGTGTTCGAATTTAGTCAAAAAGCACGGGTAATCATAGGCCTTTTAACTTTATTTCAATTTCTGTGCACACACCTCATAATTAAGTTGCGACTTTAGCGTAATGTTTGCCACAGCGTAGCCGGGGGTGGTAGAGACTTGGACGAGGTTGAATGAAGATCCACTTGCTGAAACACTGAAAGTAAGGCTGTCTCCGTCTGAGTCGGTAGCCCTGAGTGTTCCAATAACAGACCCTGCACAAGAAAGAAAACATTGGTTTTGATTTGCCATTTTTCTTACATGGTTTTGTCATAAGAAAAGAGTGCATAAATTACACTGCTCTTTGGACAAGAAGTAAAACTCACAGTTATTACGATGGGACCTGTGCCTTCAAACATCTGAGATATGATATACATAAAACATGTTTTCCCAAAAAGTAGTAGTGTCATAAATTTATTGCTGTTTTCAAAATAGATGATTGAATTATCGGTTTGCATTACCTATCGGTTGATCCTCCTTAATCACAAGTATAGGTGGCGTTGTGAACTGAGGCGGGCTGTTCCCATTGGCTGAAATGGTGCAATGATTTATTAAGACACATTGGAACCTGATTTACTTCCACAGAACGCATTTTTATAACGACACCCTATATTGTCCACCCTGAGCTTCAGAGATAACTTGACACTAACCTCTTCACTAAAACCTATCTTCATCGTGTCAAGTTACCTCTGACGAAAATAATTTGACCTTGTTTATTGCTTCCCAATCCTGCCATTTCTGGACTATTTCAACAATACAGAAAAAGCACATTCAATGGTTTTTCTTCGAGACCAGCTCTAAGACTTGCATGCTTATGAATATCAATATCATTTTTTCTTGCAAATACAATCTTTGTGTGAAACTGCTGTAAAAAGGTGCTCTTATTTTGTCATTTCATGAACAAGCACAAACAGTTAAACTTACTAGGTATAATCACACATATAAACCACAGGAAAACATTGGTAAAATAACAACAATCCATTTGTCTTAATACTGCTCAGGCTAACAATACAAACTAAATGTACTCAAATATTTTGATGGAAATAAATTATGGCAACTGCTTTGGTATGTATTAACATGGTGCTCGAATCAAAACTTTACATAAGATATTACTTTGAACCACATTTTCAGTCCTGTCTCTTTAAAATACTGATATGGTATGGACTTTTTTCCTAAAATTCATTAAGAAGTTAGGTTTTATCATCCCCAGAGCCACTGTTAACTTTATCATTTTCACCATCATCATCAGTATGATCATCAGTTGTCCCGCTATTCTGTCCCAAAACATCAATCTCAGGACCTGTCTCCTCATCATTACTACTGCCATCTATACTCTCTAACACAGGATATGGCTCCTCATTGCTACCACTGCCATCTATATTTATGACATCCTCCTCGATATCTTCTACAAGATTATATCCACTCTGGATGTCAATAATATGGTATCTTTTTTTATCCTCCACGGAATATCTCTCAATGTAAATATCTTTCTCCTTATCCTTGGTCTCAAGCACTTGAGAATATTTTTGTAAAGACTGATTAGCCTGTTTATTGCCTTTCTTGATTGAAAACAAGGATTTGTTTGTTATGTCTGAGGAATTGAAAGAGTTTTGAGCTGGGTCAGTTGGCATTGTGGTAGAAAGGTATGTCTGTGAAGTCAGTTTTGTATCATCCAGTATCTCAGGTTGCTTTTGAGTTATTGAGGCAATGTGATCGGATTTCTTTTGCATATTACCAACATCTTCAACACTGCCCTTCCTAATGGAACTCTTTTCTTCCTCCTTTGAGATAAGAGTCTCAGTGTTTTTCATCAAAAAGTCACATTTTTCACACGCCAAGTAGTTTCCCAACACCCCACATTGGCAAAAACCCTCTTAAACATTATACCACTGCTTACAGTAGTGTTTTATCACCTGTGTGGGCGGGAGGGGGGGGGGGTTAGTATGGAGCTCACCTGAGTCAGTGCAATCTTCGCCGCTCTCCAGACAGAACCGTTCTTGCATGCGTATCGTTGGCTCCTGGAGAGCGCTGTCCACAGGAATGCTGGCTCTGCACATAAACTGGAATCGTTGCTGGATGTAGCCGCCATTGGTTATGTTCCGGATCACCCATCCTGTCCACGCACTGGACTTACGGATTTCTGCAGAGATAGGGGAAAAACTTTAAAAAAGGCATCTTTATTTTTAAATTGAATCCACAGTTGGCTAATATTTAAATATATTTCATCATTCAGAATAAAATTTACCGAAAAATATCTCAAAGATATCAAAATCAAGCCTTTTTTCACAATCAAGACTTTAATCAAATTTTCAAATATTATACTTGGGAAGGCATGCCAAAACTACCAGAAAGCTAACAGATAGCAACTTACAAAAATTCCTTGCAATACATTATTATACAAACAAAATCTGCTGACTCACCATTGCAAGTACCACTATTACATGTCCTCCATTGTTCATTATTGCCGTCACAATGGACACCGCCATTTTGTGGAGGTGGGTTGGTACAAGAACGATAACGCCTCTGGAAACCACCACCGCATTCTGCAGTGCAGGCCTCCCATTCTGTCCAACGAGTCCATCCCCCGTCTAAAGGAATTTTTGTTGGGACTGAAAAAGGAGAAACCATGAACATGAAAGCATCGTTTATGCACAGTAATAAAGGCTGTGATAGCCTCAATTGAATCAAACTACATCTGATCTAAAAATATCTTTGTAAACGTCACAATAGCGAATCATGTTGAATCCACAGCACAGTCAATAAATCAACTCCATAGATTGCAATCAAGCAAAAAAAAAACCCACCTTTTTCGCTGGAAAAAGGTCCGCTCTAGGTAAAAATTGATCCATCTGCACAAAAGTTTCATAGTTATAGGTCCACTTTATCAGAACTAGAACCCCTTTCTTTGCAAATTCTGGCTAAGGGTCTGTTACTTATGTATTGTCTGCTTACCTGGGCATGGTGGATTATTTACACAATTCTCATCAATTCTTTCCTGGCCGATACACACACGCCCTCCAAAATCGGGCGCTGGATTTTCAGTTCTATCTCTTTAAAATACTGATATGGTATGGACTTTTTTCCTAAAATTCATTAAGAAGTTAGGTTTTATCATCCCCAGAGCCACTGTTAACTTTATCATTTTCACCATCATCATCAGTATGATCATCAGTTGTCCCGCTATTCTGTCCCAAAACATCAATCTCAGGACCTGTCTCCTCATCATTACTACTGCCATC